TTGTTGAGTTTCAAAGACATACGATTAAATGGATATCACATTGAAATAAAAAGTGCAGAAAATGTGAAGTATCTATGCATTACCTCCAATGATACACACATAAAGACAGTTGAATCATATATTGTCATGAACCAAAAATTCATTGATTCAAAAGTCTACATGCTTTGGCATGATTGTCTGGGTCACCCAGGATCTACCATGATGCGTAGAATCATTACCAACTCTAATGGACATCCATTATTGAGCAGACACATTGTTATCTCAAATGATAACCCTTGCAAGGCTTGTTCTCAAACAGAGTTGATAAGTAGACCATCACAACTAAAGGTTGATGTTGAATCCCCATCATTTATGCAAAGAATTCAAGGGGATATTTGTGGGCCTATTCAAGCATCATGTGGACCACTTCAATATTTTATGGTTTTGGTTGATGCATCTACCCCATGATCACATGTTTGTCTCTTGTCTACTCGGAATGTAGCTTTTGCGAGATTTCTTGCTCAAATAATCAAGTTGCAAGCACAATTCCTTGATTATCTCATTAAGTCAATCTAACTTGATAACGCTGGTGAATTTACGTTTCAAACTTTTGTGATTACTGCATGACATTGGACATTGATGTTGAACACCATGTTCTTCATGTCCAAACTCAAAATGGTTTAACAGAAGCATTGATTAAGCGGCTTCAATTAATAGCTTACACTTTGCTTATGAAAACAAATTGCCAGTTTCTACATGGGGACATGCCATCTTACATGCAGCATCATTGGTTCGATTGAGATCTATAGCCAACCACCAATACTCATCGGTATAACTCGTGTTTAGGTATCAGCCAAACATTTCACATTTACGAGTTTTTGATTGTGCTGTTTATGTACCTATTACACCACCACAACACACTAAAATGGAACCTCAGTGCAGATTGGGAATTTATGTAGGTTTTGATTCACCATCTATCATTAGATATTTGGAACCCTTGACAGGTGATATGTTTACAGCTCCTTTTGCTGATTGCCACTTTGATAAGACAATATTCCCGTTGTTAGGGGGAGAAAATACCGTTCCAGAAGAACGGCAAGAGCTGACATGGGTTGTTCCCACCTTATCTCATTTTGATCCATGTAGCACTCAATGTGAAAATGAAGTGAAAATGATTGTTCATCTTCAAAGTATTGCCAATCAAATGCTAGATGCATTGAATGATGATATGAAAGTGACAAAATCACATATACTAACTGCAAATGCACCTGCAAGAATTGATGTCCCTGTTGGACAAAATAAAGTGGCAGCAAATGATTCATCTAGTGCACGCCTAAAGCGTGGTAGACCACTAGGTTCAAAATATTCAGCCCCTTGAAAGAGAAAGACGAGGGAACAACCGAATCCACATGAGATCATTCAAGAAGAAAAAATGAATGACACATCCACAATTCATGATTCTATACTTTCAAAAAAAGAAAATGTCTTTGATGAAACACATGTACCTGAAGAAACAGAGGTACATGAAAGCAAAGAAATCTCTATAAATTATGCTTGTATTAATGAATTGTGGGATTGGAATGAAATAATCATCGATAACATGTTCGCATTCGCAGTCACCACTGAAATCATATTAAGTGATGATCTTGAGCCTCACTTTGTTGATGAATGCAAACAGAGGCATGATTGCCCTAAGTGGAAAGATGCAATCCAGATAGAATTAAATTCTTTGGAAAGGCGAAATGTTTTTGGTTAATAGTCCAAACCCCGTCTGGTGTAAACCCCGCATGTTACAAATGGGTATTCACAAAAAAACGCAATGAGAAAAACGAGATTGCGAGATATAAAGTACGACTCGTTGCACAAGGCTTTTCGCAAAGACCTAGAATTGATTATGGAGAGAAATACTCCCTTGTAATTGATGCAATTATGTTCCATTAGTTAATAAGTTTAGTGGTTTCAGAAAAACTTGACATGCGACTTATGAATGTCATCACCACGTATCTATATAGAGAATTAGATACTGACATATATATGAAAGTCTTAGAAGAACTTAAGTTGTCTGAAACAACTAATAAACCACGAGGTATGCTCTTAATCAAATTAAGGCGATCATTGTATAGGCTGAAACAATCTGGACGAATGTAGTATAATCGTCTCAGTGATTATTTGATCAAAGAAAGGTATATCAACAATGTCATTTGCCTTTATGTGTTCATTAAGAAATCCAACCGTGGATTTGCTATAGTGGCAGTATATGTCAATGATATGAACCTAGTTGGAACCCCTAAAAAGCTCAATAAAATTGCTGAATATCTAAAAAACGAATTTGAAATGAAAGACCTTGGAAAAACAAAATGTTGTCTTAGCTTGCAGATCCAGCATTGTGCTAGTGGAATTTTGGTCCATCAATCAGCTTACATTGAAAAAATCCTGAAGCGAATTTGGTATGGACAAGGCTTATCCACTCAGCACGCCAATGGTCGGTCGTTCTTTGGACATTAAGAAAGATCCATTTCGTCCAAAATAAGATGATGAACTGGTCATTGGTCTGGAAGTACCATATTTGTGTGCAATAGATGCTTTATTATATTTAACACAATGAACTAAACCATATATAGTTTTTTCGGTCAACTTGTTATCAAGATGTAGCTCTGCTCTAGCAATTCGTCATTGGAAGAGAGTCTAAGATGTATTGAGATACCTTCGTGGGACAACAGATATGGGTCTCTTTTACTCAAAGAAATCCAGAAATGATTAGATTCTTGTTGAATATGTAGATGCTGGTTTTCTCTCTGACCCGCATAAAACCCGCTCACAAACTAGATACATGTTTAAGAATGGAGATACAACAATCTCATGACGCTCAACAAAGCAAACATTAGTTGCTACATCTTCAAATCATTTAGAAATACTTGCTTTACATGAGGCAAGTCGTGAATGTTCTTGGTTAAGATCAATGATCCATCATATTCGAAATTCATATGGTCTACCTTCAAAGACAGATACTCCAACTGTCATTCATGAAGATAATGCATCATGTGTTGTCCAAATAAAGGAATGATTCATTAAGGGCGATAAGACTAAATACATATTTCCAAAGTTTTTCATTGCACATGAGCTTTAGAAGGTTAAAGTTATTGAAGTCAGACAAATATGTTCCAATGAAAATCTGGCAAATTTGTTCACTAAATCTCTACCAAAGTGCACATTTCAGAAGATAGTGCAAAGTATCGGATTGCGTCGACTTACCAAACAGCTAAATTTGGAGAATGCGGAATCAGGGGGAGATACGTATCAGGGGGAGCATCCATGATATATGCATGTTGTATTTATTTCCTTCGATTAAGATTTTTCTCACTGGGTTTTTCCTATTAATATTTTAACGAGGCAATATAAGCATATTTAACACTATATCAATAATCCAAATAAAGTTGTACTCTTTTTCCTTCGCTATGGTTTTTTCCCACTGAGTTTTTCCAAGCAAGGTTTTAATGAGGCAACTGATGTTGATATGTGGGCATCCAAAGAGGAGTGTTGAAAACATTGACATTATTATGGATGCCCACACACAGATTTTTTAATGCCCGCAAATGTAATGTAGACTTCAGAAACAAAAGGATCGTATTTTCAAAGTTATGTGATGTAAATTTCAAAATGTAATAATACGAGTTGTTCTATAAATAGAGCACTCGACTGCAATCAAAACACAGAAAAAGAAAAGAAAGATAAATAACGTCAGTATCTATTCCTCCCACTTTTATTAGTCATTCCCTTGTGTTATAGTTTTAGTGTGATATTTTACACCTACTTTGTTTTTATCACTAGTAAAGATTATCTCTCTAACTTTTACCTATTTATAACAAAGAGATCCTTTATAAAGCTCAAAAGATTTCTCGAAACTTTTAGCAACTACATTGACCAAATTAAAAAAAAAAATTAAAAGAATAGTCACCAAATGTAGTTTGGCGCCTATACATAGTGACCAAAATTTTGAATCCGTGATTAAGTGGGTTCATAAAAAGAAATGGAAAATGACTAAACAATTATACAATAATTAGCCTTGTTTTTCTTCCGAAAAATGATGATGACACTGAATTTCACTTTTTGTCAGAAAAACTTACAGAATCATTTAAATCTCACTTGATTATCATCGTGTGATTTAAAAACGTTAAAAATCAAATCAAGATGTATCATATAAAATACAAACTTGAAATTCATAATCAACCATTAAACCACTCCGCATTGGTTATACAATCCTTAGCTTCAACCAACTAAAACTTTTTCACGTTTTTTAAACCAATAATTTATTGTTCACATTCTTATCTTCAGCTTCTTACTGAATTTGTTTCCCCATTTCTGGGACCTACTACATGAATGCACATGCAAGTAATATAAACTTCGATACAATTATACAAATTGTCCATTTATCGGTATACATGTATTATGTAAATTGTTTTTTATTTTAACGAATTTTTTTTAATGTGCCTGTGAAACCGTGGAAACAATTACGTACCAAAAATGCGAGACACAGAGTGATTAGACATAGAATTTTGTTTTTTTTATAATGCCAAACTGTTCATAGGAGTTTGAAAAACACAAGAGACGGATAATATATCCAACTTCGGACGTAAAGGTCGAATCAAATCCGGTTTTATGATCCTTTTCCCATGAAACGACAAATATGTCCTCCTCTGTTTTCTCTGGCACTGCGGTTTTTAACTTTTACATCTCTCTCTCTCTCTCCCCTCCGCTCCTCTCCTCTCGTACACGCACTCAAAAAACAGTCCACGCTCTCCACTCTTCAAAACTCCCCCAACACACAAAGCACAAAAATATCCAATTTAGAGAGAGAAAGCCTCGAAAACTGCAACAGCAAAATTGGAAGAAGAAGAAGAAGAAAGTGAACAGTTTTCATACTCTTCGGTTCTATCTGCTTCTCTGCATTGTCAAAATATACATCATTATCTCCCACAAGCTCACCAAGTAAGTCACATTTCTCCCTTTTTTTTTTTTTTTTTTTTTTTTTTTTTTGGGTAATTTTTTGTGACCTCTCTCATTTAATCTGTCTTCATTCAGTCATTTGTGTGATGTGAAAATGTGGGAAGACAGATAAGAGCCCTATTTTTTTTTGCATTTTCAGCATTTTGTTTTCTGATGTTTAATGGGTTTTCCGTTTCGAAAATGGGTTTCTGTTTCTTTTTCTTTTCCCACATTTTCTAGGCAACCAAACATGGTTTGTTCTTGTTGTTTATCCTCATAGTTTACTGGTTTTTTATTTTTGTTTTAAATTTATGTTTGTAGAGTCTCAAGGGTAATGATGCTTCTTTTTAACTTCTTTTCGGATGAAATTTGAGCATAAAAAGAAGCTCCTCTGCTGTGTGATACATCACAATCCAGCAGCTTCTCTTTTTCTGCTCAAGTGCTTCAACATTTGCAGGCTTTTCATTGTCTTTTTCCGGCTTCAAAAAAGCAGAATCGAATCTCAAAAAGTTGTTCTGTACAATCAAGTTCTCAACTTTCGCTTTTCCTCTTCAGTTTTATTTAGCTGCATTACTTGCTTTTCTGCAGATTCTGATTCCATTTTTTTATTTTATAGTCGTTGGGTTTATGTTGTCTTTAGATCTGTTTGTTTCTTGGGAAAAAATGATACACTTCCGAGAAAATAGTGTTTTCTTAAAAAATCAAGACACAACCTTTGAGAAAAGAAAACTATTTTTGTGTTCATCAACTTCAAATTAGTCCCCCCATTTCACGGCAGAACTGGAGGAGGCGACCCTTCTTTTTCTCTCTCTCGAATCCGAAACTACCCTTGTATGAAACAAAGTTAACAAATGCTCGTTGTGAGGATTAGGGGTATTTCTGTAATCATGATTGGCTAGCTGTGCTTACAATGATGGATCATGAGCACATGTGGGACTAGTTGCAAGAATTTTTTATAATACGAGCGATGTTGCCACCATAAGCTACACAAAGGAGATAAAAGAGGGCTTGGGCCCGAGACTTTGTAGTGGGTTGAAAGCGATATTACTACGTTAAGCTACGCTAACAAGGGAAAGAGGGTTTGAAACTGACAGTACATAGTGGGTTGAAGGCAATCCACCACTTGCAACTCGGTACCAAGCTTTAATTGGTTTTCGAGATACTATTTTTATTTTCAATTTTTGGGTTGGATAAAATGGTTGGTACGGATATATAGTTGGCACATCTTTGCCATAATGTCTTTCCGTGTGAATGATAAGAAGCACATGTCCCTCATGAACCCGCTTTATTTCTTTGAACATTTAAAACATTGGATTCCCTCGTCCCGGTCTTGTGATCTTGTTTCAACTGTTTCAGGTCTTGGTGGGTCGAGGGCATTCAAGTAGCGAAGCGCAACTTTTGCAGGTAGAAAAGGCAGTTGCATTATGCAGACCCCTAAAGCAAGGTAACTTTCGCTTGCCTTTTTATGTGATTGGCATCTTGTTCTCCTCTAAATAAGCTTGTTCGTGTGTTTGCTTGTTCAAATGCGTCGTTGGTTTGTTTTTTCTGAGGCAGGAGGTAATGATGTTCGTTAATGTTGCATATTTATCTGTATTGCTATGTGTAATCTAATGAGGTTTAGTAGTACTAGTGTTCAGCGATGCTGCAAAACCGATGTCATAGCAGTTTCTCTTTTTTCGTTCAAATAAACTCAAAAGTCCTTGGTAACCATATCTGTCTATCTGCATCATCGTAAAGATTTGGCAACTTGTTGTATCCTTCCTTTGAGGTAACTCTGAGGCCTCTTGACAGCTATACTGCAGCATTCAGGACCCACTGGAGCTATCGAAGGACCATAAAGGGCTCCCCTTGGACCAATTAAGCAACTTTAGTTGCATAAACTCCTCCGGCATTAGATTGATTTATTTGTTGTGAAATTTGTTTATACTTTGATTTTTCGTTCAATGTGGGAAAAGAATATTATCATTACTTGCTATCAGTGTCATTATTTAAAACATCTTACCTAATGAAGGAAATTCATGTCACCATGTTGCATTTGGCAAACTCAAAATTTAACTTTCCTGGTAACCAATAAATCTCATCACAAAATTTTTGTAATTTTCCGCATCGTTCTCTGTGGTCATTGCAGGAAATGTTTTCTTGACTGTGCGAAGTGTGGCAACAAAGTTTATGTGGTTTTCTTGGTCTTGGTTTGTGCGAATTGTTCCATGTTATGTGGGATTATTACTTAAGGATGTTGGCATTTGACGATTTCAATAATTAGGATTCTCAAACTTTGAGTAATTTTTTTAATGGAGAGATAGAATGCAAGTTTTGCTGTAATTCAAACTGGATAGAATATAGAATTAAAACATCGAAGCCGAAAAAAAGGAAGTTATAACTATAGTATGTTCGTTGACAGAAACCCCGGACTGCTTCTATAGTTTCTGAAGCTGAGGATTCCTGTTGCCATTTTGATTACTAGAAGCTTTTGATTGTTATTATTTCACTGATTTTTAATTTTTATCAGAAGTGGCTCCTCTGAAGTGCCTCGAAGGGTCTCTCCTCCTCGAAAGGTCTCTCCTTCTCAAAAGGTCTGCTCTCGAGTTGTTCGCCAACTCAGGCCAACTGCATTGGAGACTGCTGATTCTGCATCTACTTCAAGTCAAGCTAAAAGAACACCTAAAGAAAGAAGCCCAAAAGTCACTGAGCGGCGGTCACCCAGAAGTCCATTGTTTGAGGTATTAACAAACTCCATGAGTCCTGCTCTTTCACAATCTATAGAATGCTGTAACCACTGGAGTGCACAGTGTGTATAGTCTAAACCCTGGGTGGAATTTTTTTTTTCCATCTTAAAGTTATCTGACACAATTTGACACATTAATATGAACTCGTCCTATATCTTTCCCAAAAATTACCTTCAATTGGGTACTTTTTTCTGTTAGTGGCGGGATTTGCAAGTATAAGTGCTTGGATTGCATGCACCGTCTATGTCTTTCTTGAGATAATTTGCAAGAAAAATTCTAGAACTTCATCTCTGTTCTTGACACAGAAGAAGGGCCCAAGTAGAATATCTGAATTGGAATCTCAGATTTCTCAGCTCCAAGAGGATCTGAAGAAGGCAAAGAACCAGCTGCAATCATCTGAATCATGCAAGAAGCAAGCTCAGCAAGATGCCGAGGACTCCAAGAAGCAAGTACTGGCATTGTCTTCGAAGCTCGAAGAATCCCAGCTGCTGCTTCCTGAGCTTTCTATTTCCGAGGAAGCTCGTGTTATCAAGCTTCACAAGATTTCACAAGAAAGAGATCAAGCGTGGCAGTCCGAGCTTGAGGCTGTGAAGAAGCAGCACTCATTTGACTCAGCTGCCTTGGCATCTGCCGTTGATGAGATTGAGAGGCTGAAGGTGCAGCTTGAAGCGGTAGCTGCATCTGAGGCTGATCAAACAAAGCATGCAGAATTAACAAATGCCGAGCTTCAAAGCTTGAAAGAAAACTTGGCAGAAACACTTTCTCTTGTGGAGAACATGAAAACACAATTAAAGGACTGTAAGGCGTCTGAAGCTCAAGCACAAGCAATGGCTAGTGACACCCTACTGCAGCTGGAGTCCGCGAGAACAACAATGGAGGCACTCAGGTTAGATGGCACGAAATCGACAGAAGCTTACAAGTGCATTTCTTCAGAGTTAGATCAATCAAGGGTGCGTGTAAATTTACTAGAAGAACTTGTTAGCAAACTCAAGGCTGACCTGATTAATGCAAGCAGCAACGTTTCACAAAATCAGGGTGGTGACAATGACCTTCAGCAAAAATTTGGAGAAAAGCAAGAGACTATGGAGTCAAACCAAACTGAGGCAGAACTCCATGACTTGAAGTCCGAAGTGGCACGGCTAAGATATACTCTTGAAACTGCTGAGACCAAATACCACGAAGAAAAAATTCAGAGCACCGTGCAGCTAAGAAGTGCTCATGAACTAGTGGAGCAGATAAGATCTACATCTAGTCAGAGAGAGGGGGAACTGGATGCATTATTGACGAAAACCAAAGCTGAAGTTGAAGAGTTGAAAGCCCACCTGATGGATAAGGAAACTGAATTACAAGGCATTGCAGAGGAGAATGAGGGGCTCAATTCGAAGCTTGATAAAAGCCTGTCATGCCAGAGAGAGTATGAACTGGAAAAGGAATTGAAAGAACTAAAAGGGCATGTTACGGATTTAAGGGCTCATTTGATGGACAAGGAAACGGAACTGCAGAGTATTTCAGAAGAGAATGAAACACTCAGGTTGGAAATCAACAAAAGCCAAAGTAAAGTTAACAATGAGGTAGAGGTGGAAGTAGAGGCTGCAAGGTTTGCAGAACGAGAGGCTCTCGTGAAGCTTGGCATTGTGATGGAGGAGGCAGACAGGAGCAGCAAGAAGGTAGCAAGAGTGGCGGAACAGCTGGAGGCAGCACAGGCAGCCAATGCAGAAATGGAGGCTGAACTTAGAAGGTTAAAGGTGCAGTCTGACCAGTGGAGGAAGGCAGCTGAGGCAGCTGCAACCATGCTTTCACCAGGAAATAACGGCAAGCTGATGGAGAGAACTGGATCATTGGACAGCAGCTATAATCATGTCACCGGGAAGTTTGGCTCGCCTGACTCTGAAGATATGGATGATGATTTACTGAAGAAGAAAAATGGAAACGTGCTAAAGAAGATTGGGGTCTTTTGGAAGAAGCCGCATAAATAGAAAATGCAGCCGGGCAGGTTGATAACACGATACATCCATCAATTATATGTGTCTTCCATGTTTGCAAGTATTGTTCTTGCTCATATTTTCTAACTAGCTTTCTAGTTTTCGGGGCATGGCTACCCCGGTTTGTTTAAAAGTTGGCAATCTACTTAGCTTCCATTGCCGGTGTAGTGGCTGCAATGCAGAAATATTTTGGTTCATTGTGATGAATTTTGCTGTTTTATTCGAATATTGATCTTTGCTACCATGAGTGATGGAAGGTATATGTATGTATTGGTCAGGGACAAGATTTACTGTTATGCGAGACAATATTTGATTAGTAATGTATTGGTCAGGGACAAGATTTACTGTTATGCGAAACAATATTTGATTAGTAAAGTGTCTGTTAGTTGCGCTGTTATTTTCCCTCAATTTTTAGGTTCTGTTTGCTTAGTTCCTCTGTTAATTGTTGAACAGTAATTTCCTATTTAAGATTGGCTGTATGAACTTTAAAATGCCACCGCACATGGTTTTATGTCAAGTCTTCCATTAGCTCGAAGTATTCCATGTCTTTTGTTTGAAATTATTCTCCCAAGCAAAATGTGACATTGGATTGCAAGATCACGTAGTTTACAGTTCCTCTTCATTTGGAAGTGAGAAGTTTTAAATTCGAATCTAATGAATAGCAAGTTTGATACTAACTTATTCTTTCTATCCTTGGTGTAGATATATTGTTATAATACCAATTTATTTTCCCATCACATGTTTTAAAGTATAAATTATTATTTACAGAATTTTGAAGTGCACAATTCTGAAAACTTTTGGAATGAAATGGATAACTTCTAAATTTAAGGTAGATATTGAAGGAACATGAAGAAAAAAAATTTCCTTTCTAATCCTATTTTGGGAAAATATTAGAATGTATAAGTTTTCATCTTGAGTAATCTATCTCCTACCCTTAAGTTGGTCGCAGTTTTTCATTTTTATCTTCAATATACCTTGAAAATAGTGTGTCATCCATTCCAATTCAATTATCTATACCAAACGAGGCCAAAAGATAGCCATTTAGTATGAAAAATTTATGAATTGCGGCTAGAACTCCTTGATTCTAGAGGCATTTTTATGTGATCCGGAAATATTGTCACATACTATAATATTGATGAGCGACATAATTGATATATTTCACTTTTAATTTATATTTATAAAAAACAAATACATACAGGTATGTGCAATAATAACATCACATGACAATGTCCTCATTGCTAAAAACTCTCTCAAATCACCAATTCACCATGTGAAAAGCGCCCGTTAAACGAGTAATACACTTTTTAAAATACGTAATAAGTATTTATATGAAAAGAGCTAAGATAGAAACCTAAAAATCAAAATAGAGGTTTTGTGTGGATATTTCCATCACAGTGGGCTTATGTGTTGGAAGCTTATATGAGTTCACTATGAACAGGCCCATTATGTCCGCAAAATTCTAACTTGTAAGCCCAACGGGAAGGCGTGTATTTAAGCAAGCGCGATAAGCCCTTAGGGTTTCTTATTGCTGCTAGCGACCAAGAAGCTCTTCTTCTTCCTGCGGCTCCAAGTCTCTCCCTGCTAATCGCCCACTATCTTCTTGTTCCGTCACCATGGGGTAAGCTTCCACTTCCTTCTTCCTTTCAATCTACTGTTCGCTCTCTGTTTGTTTTCTCTGAAACTGTATTCTCGATTGAATTTGTCGCATAAATCTGCTTGAAATTTCTGTAAATTTGTAAATTATGGTTAGACAAAGTAGCTTAAGGAGGAGATAGATTCTTTTGCGACTGAGATTATATTATTTACTGGAAATTATTAAACCTGTTTGGATCCGAGTATCGAATGTATATATGTTCGTGTTTTGAGGATTATTTCGATTTGTATAGTTTCAAATCATCTGTTTGTTTCGATGGATAATGGTCCTAGTCGGATTACTTTTAGTGATTTTTATTTGGAAGGACAAGCTTTTTTAGTGTTATTTTTTGTGAGGAAATGTTTTTTTTTTAAATATTACGAGAAGATTTATTTTTATGACATTAAAAAGCTGTAATCTTTCAAAGAAAGATTTTCAGTTGAAGGGTTTACAAGTTGGGTTTTAAGTTCTAGAAGATGATATTGTGAATGTATTAATGCAAGTCATTAACTTCCAGTTATTAGACGCCGAGAAAACAAGCTGGTGTTGTACATTTTGATATTTGAAGTGGTTTGTTATTTGATTCTTTGCTTATTCATCATCGTTGCAATAACCAATGTTTCTGTTATAGATTCTAAGATGTTGTAGGACTAAAATGCCTTAACCCTGTTACCAAATTTCTACAGGAAGACGCGTGGAATGGGAGCAGCTCGCAAGCTGAAGACCCACCGTAGGAACCAAAGGTGGGCTGACAAGTCCTATAAGAAGTCCCATCTTGGAAATGAGTGGAAGAAACCCTTTTCTGGATCTTCCCACGCAAAAGGCATCGTTCTTGAGAAAATGTAAGGAAAATTCAGATAGATTCATTTTCTTCCAAATTCCTTTAAAGACGATAAAACAATATTTGGGTGTTTAATTATGCAGTGGTATTGAAGCTAAGCAGCCTAACTCTGCCATTAGAAAGTGTGCTCGAGTTCAGCTTATTAAGAACGGAAAGAAGATTGCTGCCTTTGTGCCAAATGATGGTTGCTTGAACTACATTGAAGAGAATGTGAGTATAGATAGTGGAGACAAAATTTGTTGCCAGAATTTGGCATTCATGTTAAATCATCTTAGCTTCTTTAGGTTTTTTTCGGTTGTACTGATTATTGTGGCTGTTTGCAGGACGAGGTTCTTATTGCTGGATTTGGTCGTAAGGGTCATGCTGTTGGTGATATTCCCGGAGTTAGGTTCAAGGTGGTGAAGGTTTCTGGTGTGTCACTTCTTGCCCTCTTCAAGGAGAAGAAGGAGAAGCCAAGATCTTAAATTTCTTAAAAAATGTTTTATCTGTTGTGCTACTTGGACATTTTGATTTAGAGACAATTTTGTCAGCATTTCATGCCCTTTTTGTTTCCCTTTTCTCCTGCTCCCTTACTCTATGTTCGGATGCTTCTGTTTTAATGATGGAAATTTCTGTGGCTAAATATGATTTTCATTTCCTTCGTAGTGAATTGTTTGTGTTCACCGTTCTTGTTTGTGCGAATTGCGCATTGTTTTATTCCCATTTGGTTCCGTTTGGGTTCTGAGTTTGCGGTTCTGCTCTTGTTCTTAGTGAAATGCGCATTGTTTAACCAGAGCTGTCTCTGAAATTTCAAGAGCCGAAGGGGCCCTTTTATAAGATGGTTTTTCAAAACGAACTTTAGGACAGATTAAATAAAAAGTAGTTTTTCAAAACGAACTTTAGGACAGATTAAATAAAAAGTAAAAAGAGGCATAATCATAATTTTCACTCAATAATCAAATGCACTTCAATCTAAAACAACCAAACAAGAAAAAAAAAGTTTCAAAAACTCTATTTTCAAAGTTTCACTTCAATATATTGTTGTAGACTTATTTGACTGAAGAATTATAGAGAGATTGAGAGAGAGGGTGTGGCAAGTATAAAGAGAATTGGGTGAATTCTGAGGTGTGTTTACTCACCCTCACTGGCCTTTATTTATAGTAGTAGGAGAGGTTAGTTCCTTACCCCAATAGATTCACAACTCTGATAGAATATTATCTCAATCACAACTCTAATAGAATAATACTTAAAGATGCAATATGATAGAATCCCATAAATCCCCTAAGAATTTCCTAGGATTTACACAATCACATTTCTGACTTGATTAGTACTACAACATACATAACATTATTATATAAATAAATTGAAAAAAAAATCGTTTTTAGGTTGTGATCGACATTTCAAATATCTAATTCTGTACTCCAAATTTTTATATTAAAAAAAAAATTACACCTATAATGAGGGCAATGAGATTTTAAAGTGCTAATAAAAACTTCAAATTTGGGGAGTGTGCAATTGCACCTTTCACTCCCTCTCAATGCCCCCACTGTGTTTAACCCCCTTGTGGTGTTCCATTTGGGTTCTGAGTTTGCGGTTTTATCAAAATATATATTTTAACTGAATACGCTATTTGTTTTAAATTAGTATTTTCCTTGTACTCTAGATGTGCCATGTACTCTTTGAATAACAACATCAAGATTTCTTCTCCCCAATTACTTGGAATGAAGCTTCGTTGTTGAAAAATCAGCAGCAGCTCATGTTGCTAGCAAGTCATGAGTGGACACGTGTCCAAATAATTGATTTTTTTAATCATAAATTGAACACGTGTGATTTGCTAGCAGCAAGAGCTTCTGCTAATTTTTTTTCAGCAGCCAAGCTTTGTCCAATTACTTGGGGGATGGGGATGTTATTGTGTGCCTCTCGAGCCAATAATGCCGCGGCATGTGAAAAAATTTAGAACTTAAGGCAGTCCGTCATTAGATTGGGAACCACCGCAGTGGCATAGGTAACTTTCTCTTAGAGTGGCATACATGTTTCCTCTAAGGGTTATAGATTCTAATATTCCTATCCTCAATCTTATTCGATATTGGTACTTCTCGTCGAGTCCCATTCTCCTAACCTCCGTGTTTATTATAATTGTGGTTACTTGCCGTCCAATCTAATTAAACGGTGAAGGGAAAAGTACAACAGCAAAAGTTGAATGACCATTGTTCAGTCTGATACACAAATATAATCAGGTCTTGAATATAGAAGGATGGTTTGACAAAATGTTGGCATCCTAGTCATAATTAGTTAGAGCTCTTGTGCTTTCCACTTTCACTAGCTTTTTACTTGCATAAGTGTGTTCAACTACTTAGTATTACGATCTAGTGGTATTTCTCTTTACTTCTAAGTGAGAGGTCTTAGGTTCGATTCTCGTCAAAAGCGAATTTGAATCATATTATTGTTAGCTCATTGTAAGACTAAGCTCATCCCCTGTCTTAGTGTGTAAATAATATCATTCGTTTAAAAAAAAAACCAAAAAAGTTACTTTTTTCTGCTCTGTTTGTGTGGTTGACCCAACTTCAGCCAACCAATTGGGCCGGAAAAAAGCCCAATAATGAATAAAGCATTTTATCAACTGATTAGTAACAAATAAAGCATTTGATCTATGCCACCTTGAAGGAGGAAAATCCAGCGTCCAACGGAACACTCAAATCACAAGTAGAAGTTTTGCATTTGATCTTTCCTTGCAATTCCAGTTTAAAGGTTTTTCCGATATATAGCTGGAGTAAAATTCTAAATGTTTTCTGGGGATGATTACTGGTGCTATGCATCCAGAGGCTATGCTTGAAAGTATCTTATCCGATATTAGGCGTTTAGAACAACAAGGTCAGTAGGATGGCCTTCATAGGTGGGATTGTCTTAAGCTGGAGTGGTTATTCAATAGCTTGGTTTCTGATGTAAACGTTTCCATTCGAATTTAATCAAATTTCTCTTTTGTTTGACAAAAAAATAAGGTAAAAGTCCTAATGTGGCATTGACAAGTGACAACAAATGTCAACAACAAAAGAGTTAATTAATAATGTTGAAAGCTATTAACCACTTACCCTTGAAATTATTAATATTAAAGTCTTGAACTTAAAAGATTAAAAATTGCTATAGCTAAAGCTGACAATTTTGAAGTGTCATAAAACCTTTTTGAGTTTAAATTCCAAACACGATTATGATTTTCATGGAGTGTTTTGGAAACAATTTCCATCTCCAATACATATAAAGAATTCGATCTTATACAAATTAACAAAACATATTGCCAAAATACCATGTTTTTTGTAATCTGACTTTGTGATGGATACTTTAATTTCACTGGAACATAAGGTGGATGGAGTCTAAGTATGATTTTAGACAGGGCCAACCCTAAAGGTAGTCGAAGTAGGCAAGCCGTATAGGGCTCGCCAATTTTATGTGTGTGCGCGCGCACGCATGCTCGAATAAGACGCGAAATAATAGCTTAATTACTACATTTGCGTCTAAAAAACGCGAGATATTTGATATTTAAGTAGTGTTCGTATATCTTTTTTCTTTTGATATTAATTTTAATGATAATTGATGTAGAAATAAATTTTTTCATATATTTATTTGTACTTTTTATACATATCAATGTACAAAGGATTTGGCATCAGAGAACTCGACCCCATTTCGAACGCTTGCCTTGGGCCCCAAATTCTCAGGGCCAGTGTTGGAAATGTGCCCTAAAACCAATCATATGATGATACTTTACGGACATTTCAAACTAATGTAGTTTAAAGGGCAAACATTATTGTTTGAGCCGTCTCATATAAATGTTATATGCTTAAACGATAAGTCCAAGGAATATGTGATTGGAAGAATGCGATCTAAAGAAGTTAGATTCATGAGACCATTCTTTCGTTGACACATCCTAAACGTTCCTGATCATAGGATTGTCAATTGGGCATTGACAGTCCGTTAAGATCAGTACGTGCTATGTCTTCTCTCAGGGAGAGTGACTAGTCTCGAGTCATTGGTGTGTGTGACATCAAGACAAGTACGTAGGTGCTCAATAGAGAATGAGTTCACTGAACACGATCAACGAAGAGTTCTCATATTCATGTCACATGAGAACTCATGGTTGGGATAATGCAAATTAGTCTTTTGACCTGAGGCATCACAGTTGTCTTGTGGTTAGGTCCTTAATCTTTGATTATGTCAACGTCACTCTATCAGGGTGTCCACGGCATCGTTGGGGTTAAGCCACTTAGCCATGGAGGCAAGTGAATGCGCAACAAGGGATCTCTAACCTTCAAACTGTTTGAGGGAGAATACTCTATGATATGATTTGGAATCTCTGGCCAGAGTATGAATGAAATGTTGGAATGCGTTCCAGATCACATTCAAGGTAATCATATAAGCACAAGATTCACATTGGATAGTAGACATGAATAAACTATCAAACCAAACAATGTGGTCAAGAGTATTGTATTAGAGAAAGACCGTATTGCATTTGTAATCCTAAACTGAATAGGTTCTCCACCTCTTCTGATTAGCTTGGGTAACCATGATATGCTGCTAGGTGTCACTCATGGTTTGTGGAAGCCCTAAAAGTGTATTATCACTAACGGGAGAATTGAAAGTAAGTTTCAATTCACAATCGATTTGAAAGAGTTTGAATCGCCCACTGCCTCGCTAAAAGGAACCTAATGGATCGTACACCGTGTAAGGTAGAGATTGAAGATTCAACGGAGATGAGTAAGAATAATTAAATGGTTTAATTATTTATCTAAGGCTAGGATTAATTAATATGTTAATTAATCAAACGAATAAGTTCGTTAAAGACCTCGGGTTAGTTTTGGGCCGCAAGGCCCAATGGGATTTGAATGTCAAGCCCATTAACTCAAGTTGTATGACAACTTGAATAAAACAAAGGGCTTGAAAGCCCAATAAACCTATAGGCTAGCCATGTGTAAAAGAATAGGGCTTTTGGTCCATTAGGTCACTTATTTGAAGGGACTATATAAAGGACTTTATAGCCTAAAATTTACTAAGGGTTATTTTTGGGGAAAGGATGAGAACACAAGCTCTCTTTTCTCTCTAAAATTTCAGCCACCCTTGAGGAAAACATCTAGCAATCTTACTTCCTCAAGGTCACTCATTTCTTCTTCAATCTTACCTTGGTGTGGAGACTTAGAGGTTCTCAATTTTGGGAACTTGGAGAAACCTTTTCATCCATCCAAATCCATGGATCTAAGATGCAAGGAATGAAGGCCCTCTCTTTGGGTGATTAGCCTTTGCTTATGCAAAGAGGAATCTACAAAGGTATTGATTTCTCAACTCACTTTGTTTTGAGTTGAGTCTTGGTTCACCTATCTACTAGGCTTTGAATTTCATGGGTAAATGTTTTGTTTTAAGTGCATACAAGCATGATTCCGCCTTTAATTGTTAATTGCATGCTATTGATGTTGCTTAAATGAACATGTTTTTCACAAATTTTCCTTCAAGTGGTATCAAGAGCCTAAGTCTAGTAGTTGGTGAATCCTTTTGGGTTTTGTAGTTCATAGTTTATGATTTGAATGTTGTAATTGTTACAAGCTTTATTCTTGCTTCTTTGAATGTAAATTTTGTTAGAAAATTTGCCATCTCAAATGTTGTAGATGTAGTTCATATGAGCATGAA